GGGCTCAGGCAGTCCTGTTGCCTCCGTCTCCCAAGTGCCGGGATTACAGGCCTGAACCCCGAGCCCGGCTGCTAGTTTGTTCCTGTAATTAGCGTCAGACAACGCTGCTGGCATAAAAACAGAAATAAATGAGTAGCTGGATTTCTTGCTAAATCATATTTTAGCCATTCATTTAATATGAGAAAGACCAGGGAGCCCCACAAAGCTTAAGGTTTTAATGATTTCTTTGGAAATCTCACTCATATGAAACAGTTGAGTCTTTCTTGATTTTTGCCTTTCTTTCAGGCGCTCTTCCTCATTCTTTGTTTCTTCTCAAACTTGCCTAACAACACCTCCAGATGCCTTCTGAAGAATGTTCTGACTGCCCCATGTAGACACGATTTCCTCTCTTGAAATTTTCTTTTTTGAGTTGGAGTCTCACTCCGTCGCCCAGGCTGGGGTGCGGTGGCACATTCACGGCTACCCCAGCATCCACCCACTGGACCCTGGCGATCCTTCCACTTCAGCCTTCCATGTAGCTGGAACTACAGGTGTGCACTGCCATGCCCGGCTAATTTTTAAATTTTATTGTAGAGACGAGGTCTCGCCATGTTGCCCAGGCTGGTCTTGAACCCACGGACTTAGGCAGTCGTCTTGCCTTGGCCCCCAAGTGCTGAGATGACGGGCTTGAGCCACCGCACCCGGCCCTGAAATATTTTTGCAATGTCACTTGTCAGCTAGGCTGTCTTGTACTGTCAGTGATGTTAACACTCAAGATCTCTTTATGTCTCCAACAGGTTTCTTGAGTGACTGGGCATTTCTTTCTGTCTCTCATGGCACCTAACATAGTCAAGGGCACTAGTGTGTAAACTCCCTCATACAGACGTTTTTACTTTGTTCTCACTGTATTTGCAGTGCCTGGAAAGTGACCAGCACTCAATAGGTAATCAAGTGAATGACTGTTTTGTTTTTTGGTTGTTTTTTTAGAGGCAGGGTCTCATTCTGTCACCCAGGCTGGAGTGCAGCGGCACGATCATAGCTTACTGTAGCCTCGAACTCCTGGTCGCAAGCCATCCTCCTGCCTCAACCTCCCAAGTGTCTGGAACTACAGGTGCTTACTATCACAGCCAGCTAATTTTTAAAAAAAAATTTGAATGTTTCTGTAGCGTTGGGGTTGTGCTTTATCACCAGGCTGGTCTCAAACTCGTGGCCTCAAGTGACCCTCCCAATTCAGCCTCCCAAAGTGCTGGGATGACGAGAGCGAGCCACTGTACCCAGCTGGTAGTTCTTAACCGACACTCGCTGATTAAGTGGATGACTGAGAGGACTTCAGGACAGGCCGCTTTCTAGAGTCGTCTCTGGTCCATTTTAGCAACTTCAGACCTGTTTTCAGAGCGGTAGGCACGAAAGCTGGTGGAGAGTGGGTTGGAGCGAACCGTGTGCCTGTGCTCTGAACGTGGGTGAGGGATTTCCCCTCCAACCACAGCTTCCTGCCCCGGTAACCACTTCCCAGCTCTCGCTACCGCAATCGCCCGGCGTTGTGTCGTTCACCAGTCTGCTCGCCCTTTCTCGGGCTCTCTTGGCCCGTCCTCCCAGCGAGCATTCCACGGTGCCCACTTCGTGGTGCCCAGAGAGGCTTCCACTGCTGGCCACTCAGGCCAGGCAGTTCTGTGCTTTGAAACGACTGTCGTCTTCTCTTTGATCTTTGGGCTTTGGACTTTCCTCACCCCATGCATCACCGTCAGAGTGATCTTTCCAGAATATCCCTTCCACGATGCTGTTACACCTGCTCAAAGGGTTTTTGTTTTGTTTCGTTATAAAGATGTGGGGTGCACTTCGGGGTTGGGTATACAAACGTTGTTGATGAGGGATGACTCAGAGGGTTTTAACGGCCACCCTGCCTCACCCCCTCAGAAGGTCCAAATGTCTCCGCTTTTTTCAGCCCTGGCGACCAGGCCCCTGATCCATCTTCCTGTTATTACCCAGACCCGGGACGGAACTCGGCCCACACTCGGTCGTCCTCAAGTCCCCCCCGGACCGCCTGGCTTTACGCCTCGGTATTTATTTTTGACTCACGGGACCCAGTGTCCCAAGTCCTGCCGCCCTGGGCCTAAGTCCTTCTTTCGAATGTCCCAATGGCAATCCTGTGAGACCCCTTCTCCTGAAGCAGTTTCGGAGGAAAGTGTTCGGGTCCTCCGTGGCCACGCGTCTCCAGGGCCGGCTGTGTCACTCCAGGCAACCCCATTCTCAGCTGCCGCCGTGCTCTTCTCCCAAGGCCAGGCTGCTGTGCTCGGGGCCTGTTCTGCCCCCGGCATGTTCCGGGCTGCATGTCCTCACCGCCCGCAGCCAAGCCCAGGCTATGATGTAAACCCAGATGTACGTGCTCACAGCACTGACCAGCCGAGGGATTTCTAGAGGGCCTTCGCCCAGAACATGAGCCCTCCCTCGAGGGCTGGGAGTCCACCAGTGCAGTCCCCGCGGGGAAGGCACCCCCTGGCCTCAGGCACCCCCTTCTCGCCACCCCACTCTCCAGGCACCCCCGAGGGCTGTTTTTCCCCATCAGGTGCGCCCCCGGGTCAGGATGGAACTTTACTGGGGGCCTTTCAAGTGCCCTTATGTCGGGGTATAGGGGTGAACAGAATAGACCCGGTTCCCGTTTTCCTGAAAGGCAGACGTTAAACAAATGATCCCCAACAGTTGAGCTAATAAGTACAAGGGTGCGAAATACTGCCCAGAAAAGGCCTGCAGTCCCAGCTCAGGGCCTCTCCTGCTCTGGGGCCCCGGAGAGAGGAGACACCAGGGACGTGTCTCTAAGGCTTAGCCCGTCAAATCAGTAACAATCTGCGGAAAAGCACTTCTTACCCCATGGAAGATAGCCGATTTATTGTAGAGATGAGGTCTCGCCAAGTTGCCCAGGCTAGTCTCAAACCCACGGGCTCAGGCAATCCTCTCGCCTCCACCCGAAAGTGCCGGGATGACGCTTTAATGATCACTTGCTGATGATCATTGTGGGGCCCTATTCGAAATAACTCAGGCTTCTCTTTTTCAGGGTTCTGCTTAGCTTCTAAAACAGCCTTTTGCATCGCTCGGCAGACAGCCTCTCGTTTTCTCATGCTTCCTCAGCACAGAATGAAAACAGCCAAAGTCCACGAGCAACTGAACGATGGGCTGGGTGTCCTTCTAAGCCCGATATACAGATCAATTCATGTAATTTCAAAATAACTTATGAAGGACTTCTATCGTTTTCTCTGTGTTACAGAAAAGATAACTAAGGCACAGAAAGGTTAAGTAAACAGCCCGAGGTCACACAGCAGTAATCACAGAATTAAGAATCCAGGCAGCCCTGCCCAAACTCTTTATCACTGCACTGTTAGGCCTCTCAGTAGATAATCTGCATGATTACAAATGGCCATTCCAATGATCTTTCCAAAGCAATGAGCAATCTTTCCTCAAATGTGCTACCTGCCTCCACTCAAGAGCAAGGAAAGTCATCATGGGTGGCTCCTCCATCCCAGCTGTCTGCTTTTGGCCTCTGGACTTGCACCCCCAGGCCCTCCGCCCTGCTGTCCTCTGCAGTTGCTGGAACTCCCTGGTCTCCAGCCCTGAACTTGTGTTAACAATCATGTCCAGTCAAACTCCAAGCGATTCACCTTCCCTACTAGGTTTATAGGGCATGTATATTTCTCCACATTAAATTGTGCAGTGCCATGCATAAAATTGGCGGTTTTTTTCTTTTTTGAGTCAAAGTTTCACTCTGTCGCCCAGGCTGGAGCGCAGTGGCAGGCTCATGGCCACCACAGCCTCCACCTGCTGGGCTCGGGCGATCCTTCTGCCTCAGCCTTCCAAGAGCTGGAACTACAGGCACGCGCTACCACGCCTGGTTAATTTTTTGATTTATTGTAGAGATGAGGCCTCACCACATTGTCCAGGCTGGTCTCGAACCTGCGGGCTCAAGCAATCTTCTCACCTCAGCCTCCCAAAGTGCTGGGATGACAGGCTTGAGCCACCACGCCCAGCTGGCCCTTTTTTTTTTAAAGAAAGGTAAATTTATTAAAGGGAAGATGTGTTGTGAAGGACACAACAGGCGGGGCAGCAAGGGTGTCTGCAGCCTGAACAATTGGTGTTTGAAAGGAATTATGATGGACGCTGGGCCGAGAGCGTCTCCAGGTCGTCAGGACCTGGGAGGTGGGGCGGCGAGACTGGGAGTGGACAGACATTTCGGCTCTGGGTTTTATGTGTATGTGCACAGGCGTAGATTTAAAATCTATAGATATCAGGACCCCATCTGGAAGGCATTCATTCAGCAAACACTCAAGGGGTCCAGGCACCGCATTGGGGTTAGAAGCAGCTGGCTCTTCTGAGCTCTAGGCCCAAGTGCCAGCTGCCCTCCAGGTTCAAATCCAGGCTCGCGTGGAGGAAGGTCGGCTTCATCGCCACAGCGCAGAGACACACACGCCAAACTCGCTTCTCCCCAAGTCTCAACATCTCTTGTGGGCTCTCCACCATCTGCGGAATACGCGCCAGCCACTTTTTCTGTTAAAAAGGAATCTCAGCCGGGCTCAGTGGCTCAGCCTGTAATCCCGCGCCTTTGGGAGGCCGAGGTGAGTGGACTGCCTGAACCCGCGGGTTCGAGACCCACCTGGGCAACTTGGCGAGACCTCATCTCTACAACAAATCAAAAACAAGCCGGGCGTGGTAGCGCGTGCCTGTAGTTCCAGCTACTCGGAAGGCTGAGCTGAAGGATCGCCGGAGCCCAGCGGGTCGAGGCTGCGGTGGTCGGGAGCGGCCACTGCTCTCCAGTCTGGACGACAGTGAGACTCCAACTCCAAAAAGAAAAAAAGAAATCTCAGGCTACACTTGCTCTGCGAACACGAGGAGCCACGGTGCCAAGCCGACCTGCTTCTCCCTCCCGCCAGCCCCCCAGACCACGGGGCGATCCCTCCGTCTGTACAAAGCGCTCGCATCGGCTGGGGGGTGGCTGCAGTTTTGGGTCCCGATGAGATGAAAAGAGTTTGCCAAACTTTCCGAACAGCATTTTTTATTGAGGGTTTTAAGTGGAACGAATACAGCAAAAGAAACGTTATGCTCATCCAAGCTCTAGAGACGTAAACCCGTGTGCGACAAAGAAACGTTATTAGACAAAACAAGTTAAAGAAACACAATTCATATTAAGGCTCAGTAGAGGTGTTTCGTTTTCTGCTACAACTTCCATCCGAAATTAATTAGCTTCTAAAATAAAATACATGGAAATTGAGGACTTACTGGAATCGTAAGGCAACAAATATGAGCCAGATTTTTAGTTCTTTGTGACTTTCTGAAAAAAAAAAAACCCAACTTTTTTGGTATAGGTTACTCTAGGCATGGCATCTCATTCCTGGTCAGTATTCCAGACAAACAAAAGAAAAGATCTTGGGGTTCACTTTCTTCTGTTTGAATTTCTTCTGTTTGAATTAGGTTCTTCACATTTTTCTTGCATTAATTTACAGAGTAAATATGTATTTATGTTAGTAGTAAAATGAAAAAATGATTAAAAAAACAATAGACAACAGATCACATGACAGAGCATCAAGCCATTTCCCCCACTCCGTAAGAGTGGTATAAAACATGGACATGACGCTTGATGGGGTCCACGATCAAGTAAGAGAACGTCTGCTCGTGACTCTTCGTGGAAGGGTAGCACATGCCAGCGGAATCCTGAAAGGGAGGAGCCTGAGTTATTCAGAATACAGCCCCACAACGATCATTAACAAGAGATCATTAAAGTGTCATCCCAGCATTTTGCGGGGGCCGAGGCGAGAGGATTGCCTGAGCCTGCAGGTTCGAAACCCACCTGGGCAACTTGGTGAGACCTCATCTCTACAATAAATCAAAAAGTTAGCCGGACATGGTGGTGCGTGCCTGTAATTCCAGCTACTTGGAAGGCTGAGGCGAAAGGTTCGCCTGAGCCCAGCAGGTCGAGGCTGCAGTGGCCATGAACGTGCTACTGCACTCCAGCCTCAGCAACGGAGTGAGACTCCAACACACACACACACACACACACACACACACACACACACACACACAAAGATATTTGACTTTTCTCTATTTTCTGTCAAAACATGAAACATACATAAAACCTTGGACAATAAATTGGCCATTAACGACTATTTAAAAATGTTGACTGACTGGGCTAGGAATAAATATAGATAATACTTAGACACATGATTCTTGCCCTTAAGGAATTTAACAGTCCAAAGGGAAAGCTCATCATTTTCAAAGGTGTTTTTTTTTTGAGTTGGAGTCTCACTCTGATGCCCAGGCTGGAGTGCAGTGGCACACTCACAGCCACCATAGGTGGCGATCCTTCCACCTCAGCCTTCCAAGTAGCTGAAACTATAGGCGCGCGCTACCATGCCTGGCTAGTTTTTTGATTGATTGTAGAGATGAGGCCTGGCCAAGTTGCCTGGGCTGTTCTCAAACTCATGGGCTCAGGCAGTCCCCTCACCTTTGCCTCCCAAAGTGCTGGGATTATAGGCTTGAGCCACTGCCCATGGCCCACATTTGCTTCTAAAGTGTTGATATTGCAAAATAATTTTTTCTTTCTTTTTTTTTTGTGTGAGGATGTCACTCTGTCACCCAGGCTGGAGTGTGATGGCATGACCATGGCTCACAACAGCCTCGACTTCCTGGGCTCAGAGCACCCTCCCACCTCAGCTTCCCAAGTTGCCAGGACTATAGGCAGGCACTACCGCGCTCACCTAATTTAAAAAAAAATTGTTGTAAAGATGAGGTCTTGCTCTGTTGCGTAGGCTGGTCTCCTACTCCTGGGCTCGAGCAATCTTCCCGCCCCAGACTCCCAAAGTGCTGGAATTGGAGGCCACAAAATTTCCTACTCTGCAATTTCCTTCTCTCTGTTTTCTTTTAGGACATGGCCCCTGTGATCTGTGAGGGCTGGGACTGTGCTTCTTGTTTCACTGTGACTCAGCCCAGCACACTAGCGGCTACACAGGAGATATTGTTAAGTGACCGAGGGAAGTTACTTTGAAACTGCTTCCTGTGTAATCATATTTTTTATGATACTCCAATTCGAGTACCAGGTTCAGGGATATAAACACATTTATGGCATTCTTCTTCACTTGCTCCATGAATTATGGTTTGACAGACTAGAGAACTGTCCCCTCCTCCCTCTGAGTCCCAGATTTAGTGCTAAGTTAAGTAGGGAGCATCACTCAGCACACAGGAAGCCAGGGAAGAAGTTGGAGGCGCTCTCCAGGCGGCAGCTTCCTTTATCGACCCTTTATCCTCAAGAAACCCCGAATATCATTGTCTTTCCTTCTGGGCGCAACTCTGAGCTCCTTGCTAACTCTTGGAGGGGCAAAAACGCCATTAATAGCAAGTAAGTAAATTCCGTGGTTGCAAACGTCCCCTCACACTTACATAGGCTGTAACTTTAAAGACAGAAGAGGTGATTTGTATTTTCTTGGTTTGAGGATTCTTTCGAACGCTAGAAAGGGGGGGTGGAGAAAGATACATTTAACATATAACATATAACAAGCATAGTAATGATCCCTTTTAGTACTTAGTGTTCTTATTTATGTAGAACATGGAAACAAATAACATTCAACCAAAGTGGTTTGCAAAAACAGCATCTGAGGCTCCAGCTAAGGCGAGGCAAGGGTAGTAGAACTGAAATAGCAGAAAACTGAATTTGATAGTCTGAGGTCAGGCTGCGACTCGGATAGGGAAATGGGCCACCCGGCTACAGAGATGGCGACTAGACAAGCTGGGATCTGTAGAAGTCAGACCGAAGTGTGGCCCGCGTGCGAGGTGGGTGAAGGCATGCCCAAGGGGAGAAGGAGCCACCTTCTTACCAAGGCAGTTCTGCCACTGGTCTGTTATTTCACTCGGGCCCAACTCCTCTCTCTAAAGCTGAATTTTCTCATATGCCAGCTAAGATGGTTCCTTTTCGTCTATGGAGATTAAGTTATAGACTGCCAAATTATATCGTCTCACAAATAATTTTCTCTCAGTGGCTTTCTTTTGGCTGCTCTTCCCACAGACGACTACCGGTGACAACGTACACTGGGAATGCAAACTGACTGAGAAGTGAACTACCGATGTGGACTTGTATGCTTGTTATCTCCGTGTAGGGACATTTCTACTTCATACTCGCCTCTTTTTCTTTTTCTTTAGAGACAGAATCTCACTCTGTCACCCAGGCTGGAGTGCAGGGATGTGAGTACAGCTCACTGCAGCCTCGACCTCCTGGGCTCAAGCCAGCCTCTTGCCTCAGCCTCCCGAGCAGTCGAGTCTACTGGTGCATGCTGCCATGCCTGGGCGATTTTTTATTTTCTGTAGGGATGAGGTCTTGCTATGTTGCCTAGGCTGGTCTCAAACTCCGGGGCTCAAGGAATCCTCCCGCTTTGGCCTCCCAAAGTGCTGGGATTACAGGTATGAGCCGCTGCGCCCAGCCACCACACTTTACAATAAATTTTTGATTTATTGTAGAGATGAGGTCTCACCAAGTTGCCCAGGCAGGTCTCAAACCTGCGGCCTCAGGCAATCCACTCACCTCAGCCTCCCAAGGCGCGGGATTACAAGCTGAGCCACCGAGCCCGGCTGGCTTCTCTTCTACATAAGCAAAAGTAACTGGGAGAGGAAGAGGAAGAAGGTGGACTCGGTGGGTGAGGTGTGTGTGTGTGTGTGTGTGTGTGTGAACGTGCGCTCAAGCCTGTGTACCTCTTGGGGACGGCCTGCCCTAGCCATCTCAGGGTTCAAGATTCTTAGGTGAGTGAGGTGTGAGCGAGTGTGTGTGTGCACGTGTGCGTGCATTGAAGCTTGTGTTGTGTACCTCTTGGGGCGGCCTGCCCTGTTATATGTCTCCTAAGAAAAAAGAGAAGGCACTGGAAAATGGTCTTCATCAGTGCCCTGTTGTGTTCTACTGATAACTGCATCACAGCAGAGCTCTGCCCATCACTAATTCCATCTTCAGATAACTATAGTTTTTAAGGATGCTGGAACCTAATTTCCAAATAATACTTTTACAGAGTGTTACTATATTAATGGTTGAGAAATAAAGTAATTCCTTCTTTCTTACTTTTTTAGTCAGAGTATCACCCTGTCACCCAGGCTGGAGTGCAGTGGCACGCTCATGGCCACTGCAGCCTCAACCTGCTGGGCTCAGGCAATCCTTCCGCCTCAGCTTTCCATGTAGCTGGAACCACAGATGCACAATACCACGCCCAGCTAATTTCTTTTTTGATTGAGTATAGAGACGAGGTCTCCACCAAGTTGCCCAGGCTGGTCTCAAATCCCTAGACTTAGGCAATCCTCTCACCTCCGCCTCCCAAACTGCTGGGATTACACGTGTGAACCACCATGCCCAGCCATAATTATTTCTTATCAATATTTTTCTAATTTCTGAGGATCAATCCTATAATGACCTTAAACTTCAGGGTAGATAGACCATTCTAAGTCACTCTGCTCATTTTAAAAAAGCAAGGACCCACTGCTTAACTAGCATCTGAGCACCATAATCTAAGCTTTTCTGTTCAAATAATAAGATTTTGCATCTGGGGTAGATATGTTGGTTGGGGAACTTTCCAGAAACTTTGACAAAAGCAAGTATTTAATGTCTAAAGCAGAAAAGATACAAGCATTATTAGTAACTATGGAATTATTTCTGCATATACATTTGGTAAATGTAATGAAATAATTGATCATTTACTCTCTAACAAAATGGTTCTGATATATTGCCTATTTGATTTAAATAAATTCTAATCTTTGTAAAGAAAACATTTGCAAAACATTTAAAAAGTGTTCCTTCAGCTGGGCATGGTGACTCACCTCTGTAATCCCAGCACTTTGGGAGGCAGAGACAAGAGGATTACCTGAGCTCAGGGGTTCGACACCAGCCTGAGCAACATGGCAAGATCTTGTCTTTATAACAAATAAAAAAATCAGCCGAGCATGGTGGCACATGCCTGTGGTTCCAGCTACTTGGAAGGCTGAGGCAGAAGGATCATGTGAGCCCAGCAGGTTGAGGCTGTGGTGGCTGTGACCATGCCACTGCTCCAGCCTGGACTACAGAGACTCCAACTCAAAAAATAAAATAAAAAATAAAAGGTGTACTTTGTAGGACCTGTAATAATGATGAGGAGAATATCTTTTAGCAAAATTTTGCCCTTTTGTTGGAGCCCAGGACTCCTAAATCGCACCCTGTGGGCCCTAGTGTCTGCAAACGTAAGGGACGGTCCTTGCTGGGTGGGTTTGTGGTGACATCTATCTGCAAGGGCAGGCCAGACACTGGGAAGCATTCAGCTTTCTTCTCAGCACCCCAAAACGCAGAGAGAGTCACAGGTGAGAATCCAGGGAAGGCAGTATTGGGAGCAAGCGGTGTCTTCGCTGTTTAGAGTCTCTTTTTTTTTTCCTTTGAGTCGGAGTCTCACTCCGTCACCCAGACTGGAGTGCAGCGGCCGCTCCCGGCCACCACAGCCTCGGCCTGCTGGGCTCCGGCGATCCTTCCGCCTCAGCCTTCCGAGTAGCTGGAACTACAGGCGCGTGCTACCACGCCCAGCTGATTTTTGATTTATTGTAGAGATGAGGTCTCGCCAAGTTGCCCAGGCGGGTCTTGAACCTGCGGGGTCGGGCAATCCACTCACCTCGGCCTCTGAAGGTGCGGGATTACAGGCTGAGCCACCGAGCCCGGCCTCACTGTTTAGATTCTAAAGATGTTTCTAATTCCAATATCCCCAAAAGAATGCCTCCCCCACAGCACACGGTAGTGAGGAATTCCACAGGCTCTTGTGGCCGACGGGCACCGTACACAGCAGTGGTGGGGGCAGGGTGTGTGTTTGTGCATCACACATGCGTGTGTGTGTCTGTCCAGGGTACACAACGGAGTAAGTGCCTCCAGGGCCCGAGGGCTGTCAGCAAGCTCACAGGAGGTGCAAATGATTAGGACACAATGTGTTTGCTGTAGGTATTATACACTTTTTCTGAAATTCTGTTACTAGCATAGCTCTTCCAATAATCTTTATGTATTGACACAATAAATTTTTTATTAAAACTTTCAGAGACAAATTATAGAAATATTTTGTTTTTAGGCCGGGCACCGTGACTCATGCCTATAATCCTAGCCCTTTGGGAGGCTGAGGTGAGAGGACTGCCTGAGTTCAAGACCAGCCTGGGCAACTTGGCCAGACTCATCTCTACAATAAATCAAGCAGTTAGCCAGGTGTGGTGGTACACACCTGAGCCCAGCAGGTCGAGGCTGCGGTGGCTGTGAACGTGCCACTGCACTCCAGCCTGGGCGACAGAGTGTGACTCCGATTCAAAAAAAGAAAGAAAGAAAAAAGAAATAATTTTGTTTTTAAAACTGTATCAGAAATTAACTAATAAATTAACTCAATCGTGCAGTTTGTTTTGTGGCTACATCACACATGGAACAGACACGAGAATTCAGATGTTGAGTGTAAGTAAAGACACAATTATAAACCTGACAAGAAGTTAATTCTGGTATTTTCCTATTAAAGTCACATAACTAACCTCTGGGACTCTTTGCTTTCTCTTGTTTCTATCCTCTTTGCATTTTAAGATAGATGATCCAATATCTTCATAATTGAAAAACACAACCAAAGAACATCCACTTCCATTAAAATAAAAGTATAAGAAATCTGTGGCTGGGCACAGTGGCTCACACCTGTAATTCCAGCATTTTGGGAGGCTGAGGCCAGAGGATTTTGGTTGAGCCCAGGAGTTCGGAGACCAGCCTCGGCAACGTAGGAGACCTCATCTCCATAAAAAATAAAATTAAAAAAAGCTGAACATGGTGGCACACCTGTAGTCCCAGCTGCTTAGGAGGCTGAGGCGGAAGGATCACCTGAGCCCAGAAGGCGGAGGCTGTGGTAGCTGTGACTGTGCCGCTGCACGCCAGCCCGGGCCGCAGAGTGAGACCCTGACTCGAAGAAATAAAGTAAACAAGCAACTTGGAAGGCTCTACTCCTATTTGATCTTGAGAAGAGAGAGAAACCCCCCTGGGATGCTTCATACAAGCTGAGCAGCTTGGGGATGAAGTTGAAGAGGCAAAGCCACCCCTAGACGAAGACTCCGCCACCCCTTCGGAACACGGCACGGGCTTTACTATCAGCCACGCAGACTCACATCCTCAGGGGCCTGAGGCTGGGAAGAGGCCGGCAGGCCGCCCTTGCTAATAATGTCCCAGGGCCACAGGCGGAGAAGGAAGTACCAAGTGGCAGGAGAATGAGCGGACTGAAGCCTCAGAGAGTCTCCAGCCTGGCAGACGGAGGAGGTGGTGAGGGTCAGGGCAGCCATTTTTATGCATTTGGCTGCGAACTGGACTGCGCAGAGACGTCGCATGGTCCTACCGTGGCTAAACCGTCAGTTATTCTATCAAGGAGGGCGTTACGGGGTGTGATCGGCCACGTCACCTCACAAGGTCCTTATAGATCAGCTTTGCTGTTTCCAGATACGGGCTAAGCACGTCTTCGTATTGACAGAGGGCTCCACCGAGGCACAGGTGTTTGAACACGCAGAACAGGAACTCCTCTCTGTCTGCTGGGCTGAACACTTCATATTTTTCCGAGTCTTCCACTAGCAAAACCTGATGGTAACATGTTTGTTAAAATGACGTAACTCAAGGTACTCATGTTTATGTTTTCAACTGCAGAGTCACCTGTGATCTGCACTTATTTGACGCCATCTTTTCATTAGCTAGTAATGCACAAAGAATAAACTGTAAAGCACCGTGGCTTCAGCAGGCCATAGACTGCACTGAAAACCACAAATGAACAAAAGCACAGTGCTCCGTCTCTCCTCCCCTTTCCTTATTCCAGCTTTCATGCTTAGTAACTGTGTAGTACTACTGTGTGTTTAGCATTAGGTCACCTCGAGTCTCATTTGGAAATAAGGGGGAGCATTAAAAAATGGGAAACCTCCCACTTGTGAAGTCTCTGGTCTCTGCTTCTCTCTGGGGCTAAACACGGGCGTCTCTAAGACTACCTCTGCGGTATGGATGGTGCCTTCCAGACCCCTGCAGGGACTCCATCGGGAACCACCCGGGCTAGGGCCCCAAACCCACCTCTCCTTTTCCTGATCTTCTATAGAAAATCACTTCTCAATCACCCATCTGAGGCTGAGCAACTAGATCTGACATGGGGGTTTTCCTGTACTACTGGGCCTCACAGACACCAATCTATTACTGACTGGAGCAGACATAAACAAGGTGATGGCCATAAGCTATAACATGTGTTTCTTTTACTGGATTGTTTATACCCCACCCATTTAAAAAAAGAATGTGAAATAGCTGGCAATAAAATATAGATACAATAAGTGCAAAACAGCCGGGCTTGGTGGCTCAGCCTGTAATCCTGCGCCTTGGGAGGCTGAGGTTAGTGGATTGCTTGAGCCCGCGGGGTTCGAGACCCACCTGGGCAACTTGGCGAGACCTCATCTCTACAGTAAACCAAAAATGAGCCGGGCGTGGTAGCGCGCGCCTGTACTTCCAGCTACTCGGAAGGCTGAGGCGGAAGGGTGGCCGGAGCCCAGCAGGTCGAGGCTGCGGTGGCCGGGCGCAGCCACTGCCCTCCAGTCTGGGCAAAAGAGTGAGACTCCAACTCAAAAAAAGAGAGCAAAACAATAAAGTAACTGCAGCCGAGAACAAGGTGGAAAAAGCCACTTGATGAAATGGATGGGTGGGTCTTCAGGATGCCGACTGGAGGCAGCGGCCCTCACCTCCTGAGCAAAGAAGCAAAACATTAGAGAACGGTCACGCTCCAAGACAGCATCAAGAGGGAATGCTGGGATTCCGCAGGGAAGTGACAGAAAACACCGCGGAGGGGCTGAGAGGGAGGGGAGACCCCCAGCACAGGGAAAGGGTGCGAGACCCCTGCAGTCCCAGGCAGGAGAGAGCCTCTGCCCCCACTCCCGTGGACCCTGAGACTGAGGACGGCACGGCCCAGAGAGGGCGCTCAGCCTGGTCCACGCACTCCCAAGTCCTCAGCGGCGACAGGACGGCACTCGGAGAGTCCAGCCCTGCCAGGCTTGGGTCCTTCCCCGAGGCCCAAGAGCCGCTACCCCGCCACATCCCTGGGCCTCACTGACATCCAGTGTCCACCGGGGGCCGTGGCGGCACGATGCTGGTTGGCCCGGGCAGGACATCAGGGTCCCCAGCGCGCCAGCACACAGTGGCCTGCACCCTGGGGGGTGGGCAGCACGCGGGGGAGCCCCAGCCACGCTCCCTGCAGCCTGAGACCTGCTAATGTGACGTCTGAAACCCCCGAGGTCACACCTCGGACAGCCTCTCCCCTCCCAGCAGCCGGTCCAGCAGGCACTCGCACCCCGAGGACAGACCTTCTCCACCCACAGCCAGACTAGCCCCGGGCAGTGACTTTGCTCCCCGTCAGTGGCATGGCTGTCGCCCGCGTGCATGAGCCCAGAGAGCTGCTCGCCTGCTGCCGCAGTGGCCACGCGACTGCAGGCTGAAGCCCGTGCTCCCCAGAGGCCGAGGGCCAACCACCAGCAGCTGAGGCTTGACAGCAACCCCACCCCCGCCCGCAGCAGGACCACAAGCACCACACACCCTCAGGACAGGCTCTCCCCACTCACCGCCACTGGTGCCGCCACCACCCTGGCACTCCCTGCGGGACCAAAGGACAGTTCCCGGGTCTGGCCCTACCCTCCCACATCCGAGCACATCGCCCGGGGGGCCTGGGGGTCGCTCTGCCACATCCACCACTAACATCTGTGCCCTCCTCCCCGGGGCCTGAGGCCGGGCCCACCCAATCTGCCACGATCTGGCAGCAACCCACACGGGCCACTTGGAGACCAGGAAACTGGCCTGCCAGCAAGTCGCCGCCACCATTAACACATGCCACCTGGGGGCCCAAAGACTGTCCCGCCCCTGCTATGGCCATTACTCCTGCTGTGCATACTGCCCAGGGGCCCAAGGACATGCCCGGCCCACTGCCATCACTGCAGGTATCCAAACAAGATGCTTGGAGCCCCGAACCGGCCCACTTGTACCTGCTAGCACTGGTGCTTACACATACCACCCGGAGGCCCAAGGACAGGCAGATGTGGTCTGCCACCACCACTGAGACCTGAGCACTGGCCTGCCTGGTATCCCCATGCCCAGCAAAACCTCGCCATGGCCTTCACTAGTAACCACTGCCTAAGCTACTGAGAAAAACCACACACCCCAATGCTGCTGCATACAGCCAAAGAAATCATATGAAGACTACAGCACTGTGAGTGCCAGGAATAAAAACCAAGTACCCCGCCAAACCAACACCACAGATACATCTTCAGGAAAACATCGTTCCCTACAAAAGCCAACCCAATAAATTGGAAGAAGTGACTGTTACATCAGATGCACAGATATCAATGTAAGAACGTAAGTAATACAGAAAAGCAAGACAATATGACACCTCAAAAAAACCCAAAAAAACAAACCACACACAACATGCTGGATGTGGTGGGTTATGCCTGTCTCCTCGCCACTTGGGGAGGCCAAGGCAAGAGGACTGCTTGAGCCTAGGAGTTAGAAAAACTAGGCAACATAGTTAAGACCTCATCTCTACAGACATCAAAAATCAGCCAGGTGTGGTGGCGCACCTGTAGTCCCTGCTACTCAGGAGGCTGAGGTGGGAGGATTGCCTGAGCCCAAGGGGTGGAGGCTATGGTGAGCCTGATCATGCCACTGCTTTCCAGCCTGGGCAACAGAGTGAGCCCTTGACTCACAAACAATAACAAAAAAAGGAACATAATTCTCCAGCAACAGATTTTAGTCAATAAGAAAATTTGTGAAATGTCAGAAAAAATTCAGAATAATGATATCAAAGAAGCTTTGTGGGGCAACCCCTTCGGGTCCCCTCCCACTGTGGGAGCTTTTCTGTCCTCTCAGTAAATCCTGCTTTCTCACTTAAAACAAAAACAAAAACAAAAAAACTAAGTGAGATACAAGAGAACACAGATAAACAATATAAATAAATCAGAAAAACAATCTAGTATATGTATGAGAAATTCACCAAAGAGATAGGTATCATACAAAAAAACCTGGAAATGAAGAATTCAGTGAATGAAATAAAACATTCAATTAAGAGTTTCAACAATAAACTAAGCAAAACAGAAGAACTTGAAGATTGGTCTTTTGAAATAACCCAGTCAGACAAAAAGAAAATAAAAAGAATATGAAAGAATGAACAAAGTTTACATTACATACAGGCACCCTAAAGTAACCATATTTTGGAATTATGGGTGTTCCAGAAATGAAGAGAAGGCCAAAGTAATAAAAAGCCCATTTAATGGAATAATAGCTGCCAACATCTCCATTCTAACAAGAGATTTAGACATCCAGATACAGAAAGCTCAGAGATCCCCAAATAGATACAATCCAAGAAGTCTTGCCTGTAGCACATTTTCATCAAACTAGGAAAAGTCAAAGACAAAGAGAGAATTGTAAAAACAGCAAGAAAAAAGCATCTAGTCACAAATAAGGAAACCCCTATCAGACTAACAGTGGATTTCTCAACAGAAACTTTACAAGCCAGAAGAGAATGGGACGATATATTCAAAGTGCTGAAGGAAAAATAAAAAAATTAAAAAAGCTACACACTAACACCACTACATTCAGCAAAGCTGTCCTTCATAAATGAAGGAGAAATAAAGTCTTTGCCAGATAAGCAAAGTCTAAGGGAATTCATCACCACTGGACCAGCCGTATAAGAAAATGCGTGAGTGAGACCTACATCTGAAAAAAAAAAAGATGATATCTACCATCACACAAAACACACAAAAATATAAATCTCAGTGGTATAGCAAACGTACAAATGAGGAACAGAAAGAATTCAAATGTTACCACTATAAAAAACCACCACATCACAAAGTTAAACAATAAGAGAGGAAGAAAGGAACCAAAGATATCTAAAATAACCAGTAAACAATTAACAAAATGATAAGAATTAGTTGCATATATCAATAATAATCTTGATGTAGACAGATTTAAAATTTCCACTTAAAAGATAAAGGCAGGGCTCAGCGGCTCAGCCTGTGATCCCAGCACGCTGGGAGGCCGAGGTGAGTGGACTGCCTAAGCCCGCAGGTTCGAGACCAGCCTGGGCAACTTGGCAAGACCTCATCTCTACAATAAATAAATAAATAAATAAATAGCTGGGCATGGCAGCACGCGCCTATAGCTCCAGCTCCTTGGAAGGCTGAGGCGGAGGGATCGCCGGAGCCCGGCAGGTCGAGGCTGGGGTGGCCTGAGCGTGCCGCTGCGCTCCAGCCTGGGCGATGGGGTCAGACTCCAACTCGAAATAAAAAAGAGACATGGACTGGCTGAACAGATTCAAAAAACATGATCCAACTAACTACATGCTGCCTATACAAAACTCTCTTGATCTGCAAATGTATACACATAGTAGAGGGGAAAAAAATACTCCATACAAACAGAAACAAAAAACACAAGCAGGAATAGCTATATTTATATAAAAACCATATGAAGTATTTTCCCAGACCACAATGAAATCAATAGTAAAAGGAACTCTGCAAACCACACAAATACAGGAAAATTAAACAGAAGAAGAAAAAAAAATTAAACAAGTT